ATTTTTCAGTCCCACACCATGTTTTCTTTATATACACACATGAGAATTTTTTTCAAATTAAAGTTCAAGACCTACTAAAATGTGTTATTCATGCGTTCTCTTAATATCTCTCTAACTCTTTTATTTTTGCACCACTATCAAATACATAGGTTAGATTGCTCTCTCTCAGCCTCAACAACTGTAGACATCATGATCATTTTCTTTTCTCAATTTTATATCCCACAAATATTATTATTTTTAATATGATACTATTGTGGGTTGTACATGTCAGTGTAATAAATTTCAGCATTTTATATAATTACGGCAATAAAATGACCTACCAAGACCAGGAATAGTGAATTATCTAGGAGTCCCGAAAGATGTCATTTTCAGTAAAAACAAAGTAAAGAAATCTCTCCCTTTTCCTTGCTACCTCAGTTTCGTGATGATTTTCTCTGACTTTGTTACTTCAATAATTATGTTCATTTCCCTGAATCACATAATTGCTTTTGCTTTCAGTTATAGACAGAATAGCAGTCACAAAGGTATTCATGTACTAATACTTAGTAGCTCTCTTAGTTATTTTAGATGGTAAAAGGACTCCACAGATGTAATAAAGGATCAGAATGAAAGAATTCCTTTAAAAAGAACGGATCATGCACATCATGCAGATATGCCATTTATTTCAAATAGTTCATGAAACTGGAGGAGGAAAGTACTAGTTTTAGAAGACACAGGCACTGATAGTTGCAAAAACCCTGATTTTTTAATGGAGAAATAGGGGCTGGAGCCTCAGATAGTTTGCTTGTCTTGCATGTGCCTGGCCAGGGTTTGATCTTCAGCATCCGGTATGATGCCTGCAGCCCCACCAGAAATGCTCTCTGAGTGGAGAGTGAGGAGTATTCCCTGATCACAAAACAAAAGGAGATATAGAATTAGCAGACTGTGGACATCTGAAAAAAAAAGTAGAAATACATGTGTTTCTCAACCTAATACCCAGAGAAACTAATCAAACCTTACAAATACCTATATTTGAGTCAGTGAAGCTATGTCAATCTTCTACCAATAGAGAATTAAAAATACTAAATATTTAGAGCTTCTTGTTTGTTTGCTTTCTTTGTTGATGTGACACATCTGGTTGTTCTCAGAGCTTACTCCTGCCACTGAGCTCAGCGATCTTTCCTGATGGCTTTCAGGGGAATGAAGAGGCTTTCTCCATGCCAGGCAAGCAACTTTACCACTCTATTATTTTTCCCCCCTTAGAGGTTCTTAATTACAAAGTTTCTGAATTCTTTATCAGAAGCAGTTGAGAACTTTTAAAGATAAATGACTATTTGAAACACAATAGCAAATAAAAGTAAGGAGTTAACTGAAACCATATTGCTACAAGAATGTATGATATTTTTTGGTGGTTGTACCCAGAGGTGCTCAGGGGTTACTGCACTCAGGAAATACTCCTAGCAGTGCTCTGGGTTTGCTTCCACAAACACATGGAATGTTTGTGATAGAGCCTGCATCAGTTATGGGCAAGGGAAATACCCTACTTACTATACTGACTTTCCAGACCCTGAGTTATCATTTCATGAAGGACAAAGTCATAAATTCAAAGACAGGAGAGAGTGCATAGAAGGAAAACCTCTTTTCTTGCAGAACATTTTGAAACCATCCTATTTCATTTAGATATGTTATAAAATTTTCGAAATCAGTCAGTGCAAATGCATTCATTACACACTTTAAAAAATAGAATACAAGTAACTGTGATTCACACACTCACACTATGATCTCTATCTTAGAACAAAAAATTATCATTCCAAATTTGCATAGATTTGTATAGATCTTAGAAATTCTAAATATATTTCCTATGCAAGCTTCCTATAATCTAAAGGCTGATTAGGTGCAACAAATACAAATACAAATTTTATACTATTTTTATTCAATAAATATGTAGAACATCTTTAATAAAGATGAAATGATTGGCAACTGCTTTATTATGTGACAGGCAGGCTATGATATTTAAATATCAGGTATGCTTTGAGATCCCAGAGACTACAAAACCCAGCTCCCGGAAGAGAACAGCGCAGAGTCTTCTGCCCCCATGCCTGGCTGTCCTCACCGGGGCCCCTTGGAGTGGGGCGGGTTGAGTTTCCCTCCCTGCACTGAGCAGAGCTCCAGCAGCCAAAGACCTCCAGAACCAGCCACAACCATGCTGAGAACACTCTCCACAAGCATTAAGGTACCGGAAGAGAAACAAAGGCGTGTGGTCCTGGGGCTGAGATCTCCAAGCCTGCTCGGATCGGGGCTGAGCATCCTCCACCCAGATCCTCCATCTGCCAGTAGGCAGGGGTCACATCCACTAACTGACCCCTTGGCGCCATGTAATCCCATCAATGGCCAAGACCCAGAGACTATAAAACTCAGCTCCCGGACATCTTATTTTCTCATTCTTACTTTGGACAACCTGGCAGCCTACCGAATGTAACCTGCCCACATGGCAGAGTCTGGCAAACTCCCCGTGGTGTATCCAATATGCAACTACCAGTAACAATAATGGGTCTCATTCTCCTAACCCTGAATGAGTCTTGAATGTGGCACTTTATAATCTCAGGGCTGGGACAAAGGAGACCTTACTGGTGCCTGCTTCAGGCAATCGAGGAACAACAGGATGATGGTGATCATGATGTTTTGAGACAAACACTAATATGCCAATTCATCAATCAGAGAGGAGAAATTCAGAGATTAAATAATTTTCTCAAAGACAATAAGCAGTATAAAATCCAATGCAGATATTTAATTAATTTTCTTTATACCATTTTCCTCTGATGGAGCACTAGACAATAAAAACATAAGCAGGATTTTGATTTTTAAAAAATCTCATATCAGTCAGAAAAATAAAGTATTAAAAACAATGTATTAATTCCAGAAGACCTTTTTTTTAACAAAGTTACAGAAATATGTTCAGGGAATAAGAAACAAAATTATGTTTATCTTTGATGAATCAAGGATTCTTAGATACGTATTGAGCATAAGATAATTCATGTTAATATACTATCTTTTTTTCTATAAAAGGAGCCAGTCCATTTTACTCTGCCTACCAGTGAGGCATGATGGTTAGGGCAGGAACTTCGGTGATGACAGCCAAGTGGTGCTTAGGGATAACAGGGTGATACAAAGATAATAGTTAGACAGTGCCAGAAATTGAACTCAGGCCTCTGCACATATCAGGTATGTATTGACCCTATTGGGACACTGAAAAAATCTTAATAAATCATTTTAGAACACAGATAGGAAAATATTCTAGATGAAAGAATTACTCTGAGTTATAGTAGAGAACGAACAAGCTTGGAAAAAATTAACATGCATGAATCCCAAGAATAATGATTTGTTGTGTGGGTGAGGGTGGAGGTACCAGCAGTGTTCAGGGCTTACTCCTAGTTCTGTACTCAGGAATCACCATATGAGTTGCTGGAACTGAAAATAGGTCAGTCACATGTAAATCAAGTTCCCTAATTGCCATGCTATCTCTTTGGCACCAAAATAATGAATAGTTTAGAAATTTATTTTAATATTATATCATGTTAACTCATTAATATGAACATCATTCACACTATCACATTTTTCTAAACAATAGCAGATAAATTGTTTACTCTGTTATACTTACTAACCCACAATTAAATGCTCATAAAGATGATATGTATTATTTTCTATTCCACATCTCCAATGAAACAGACTGCAATAAATTTTAATTAAAATAATTTCCATTTTAAACTGGAGATATAGTGTAGGCAATGCATGCATCACATCAGGCTGGTTGAATATCTCACACCAGATGGGCCCCAAGCATTGTCACGTGAAGCTCACTAGGATCACTGCGGGGCCCTGGTGATCCCTGGCACAGCAAGGCTGAGAAGAATGCCATCCTCATGTCCTTGTTTGAACCAGCAACCCAGTTGACCAAGGAACACTAAGAGGTACTACCAGGTCTCTTATAATGCTTAGGAAAACACTTCCTCACAAATTTCCATTTTAATTTTTCAAAGAAAAATATTTGAATCTGTTATTACAATTTAACTGTGTTTACATTGTGCTTTTTGAAACAATATGAAACCACTAAAGGTATTGATCCATTCAAATGACACTTACTGTATTTCCTTTTAAATTTCATTTAAGCTAAGATGGTCTTGTTTTAAATTTCAGAGCACTTCTGAAAAAGAGGAAGCAATTTGTGTGTTACTACTTTGCACTCAACTTTTCACAGAAGTGTGGAGGTCAAGTCATTTGGGGAACTTGGCTTTAACTTTCTTACAAGAATGTTACTTTCCAATATTGGACAAGTACAGATTTTTCTAAAAAGGCATATTTCCTGCAGGTTGTCTGATTAATGTCAAGGTCCCAGAAGGTCATTATCTCTTTCAAGTCAGTTGGAATGACATCTGCCTGAAGCAACCTAGAGGCAAAGCTGATTGTTCTAGTTTTATGGTAAGAATATAAGCTCTTCCTGTAACTTTGGATTTAACTCAGTATAATTATTTAGTATCAGAAAGGTTGCATCTAGGAACAAGTGAGGAGAAATTGTAAGAAAGTTTATTTAATTCAATTAAATTAGATCATAAATGGAAATTTTCAGGCATAACTAGTAAAATAAGGGTGTTTTTTTTAATTTCAAAATAACATTAAGTAGTGCTAGGAGTGAAAAAATAAGGATATAACCTCAATTATCCTATATAGTAATAAGATAATCAGTAATTGAGAAGGAATAAATGAAAGCCATTTATTATATAGACAAAATTAAGAAGAATATGAATATAATTTTAGTCATTTTACATTAAATTAATTTTAGTTCTACCCCAAAAACTGAGATGAGCAGATCCTAAGAACAAAGCCAGAATAATTATGAGTACATCCAGAGCTCAAACCCTCCTCCACCAAAAAAATCCCAAGCTCTTACCAAAAATTGCATCATTCAGTGTCATATGAGATTATAAAAAAAACTATAGTGTCACTTAAGCATTATTCAATTTATATTATTTAATAACTAGCACTTGTCCCTGCAGTTGCATTGTCAGGACGTGGTCAACGCCGATTAAGGACTGGTAGCTTTTGAGAGCTTTGGTGAGGATTTCCAGAACTTCGTTTTCCATCAGTTCCTCCAGTGGCAGCGGCAGCCTGGTGTGCTGCTCCATCCAGTAAGGTTTATGGGGTGCGTACTTATGGGCACCGGGTACGATTGAAGAGGCTTTTCTGTATATAGGCTTGTCCCGCTCTAACAGCTTCCTCAGGCTGATCTTATCCGTGAAGGTGCTGGACTTTTGCAGCGAGATGTTCTCTTCGGACTCCGGTCTTTTCCAGATGTGCATGAGGGACTCTTTGCTGACGCTCCACTGAGGATCAGTCTTGGAACTTGAGTAACTGCTCTGTGATTCGAGGTCTTCATAGATTATGTTCAGGGACACAGACCCATCCACCTGTGACAGCGTGGCCTTGGTCCACAGATCCCGGATGTCCTCGGGCGGGTTCATCTTGTACAAAGACTTGGACAAACCAACACTTTGTTAAGCTCCTCCTCCAAGGTTCAGCCCCAAACAGTTACACCCTCCAACTGCCGTGTAACCCCAACAAAGGCCAGGATCCAAAGATTATCACAACAAGCTCCCGGGAGAGCACAAGGCAGAGTCTCCTACCCTGTGTCTGACTATCCTCGCCAGGGCCCAACAGCTGAAGACTTCCAGGCCCCAACCAAGGCCTTACTGGAGCCACTCTCCACACACTTGGATAAGCCTCAGACATAACCGAACTGGCAGAGGAACCCAGGTGTGTGGGACCCGGGACTGAGATCTCTAAGCCTGCACGGTTTGGGACTGGACCTGTCAGTAGCTAAACAGTTACACCCTCCAACTGCCGTGTAACCCCAACAAAGGCCAGGATCCAAAGATTATCACAACAAGCTCCCGGGAGCGGCCGCGCGACTATTTATTTAATAATTTTCAGGATACCTTAAATATCCTTAAATATCCAACCCACACGGCAGAGCCTGGCAAGCTATCCGTGATCTATGCCAAATAGACCAAATTGATATGCCAAATCCAGTAATAAATGGATCTCATTTCCCTAACCCTGATTATGCAGAGTCGAAAAGGATATGGAAGGAGAAGCTGATAAAACACCAAGGCAGACATGGGCTGCCAAAACGCAGAAAAACAAAAATGATTGTCTGTACTTTTAATGCTCGTACGCTGGCATCTGCTGCATCCATTGAAGACCTTATGGTACAAGCACAAAAGATCAAGTACGACATCATTGGTCTGACCGAAACAAGAAGACATCAATCCCATCATGCTGTTTTCGACACTGGAGAAGAACTGTTCCTTGGAACATGTGATATTAGAGGCGTCGGTGGTGTCGGTATCCTTGTCAACACAAACTTAGTCACAAGCATTGATTCATTTGAATGCCTAACAACCCGAATCGGACGATTACACTTGAATAAATGTGGCTCACTACCGGCAGTTTCTATCTTTGTTGTCTACGCACCAACATCCAGTTATGGTGAAAAAGAAACTGAGAAATTCTACATGGAGCTGGAGAATTTCTATAAAGAAGATCACACCTTCTACAAGATCATTGTCGGTGATTTTAATGCCAAGATAGGACCAAGAAGATCAGTCGATGAACTCCACATCGGAACCCATGGCCTGGAATGGAACGAACAAGGTGACAGACTGTCTGAGTTCATCATGTCAACCAAAACCTTCCATGGTAACTCACAATTCCAAAAGGCTGAATCTAAACGTTGGACATGGGAGTCTCCCGATGGACGGTTCCACAATGAAATATACCACATCATATTCAATCGGCGGTTTTGCCTAACCGATGTTGCTGTTGTCCCAAAATTCCAAACGGGATCAGACCACCGTCTTCTTCGTGCAAAATTCTACCTCACAGAACGAGGAGAAAAGAATGCAAGGTTTAAGAAGAAGACTCCCAGAACAACCACCAACTGGGAACTCTTTGGCTCTGTTGCAGCAACATGGGAAGATGCCGTCATTGACAACATTGATGAGGAATACGATCGAATGATTCAGCACCTCCATGATTGTGCAAGGAATGCCAAGAGAGAGAAAACCACAAAAAACCGTCTTTCTTCGAACACTCTTGAACTTATTCGCCAACGTGGCGTGGCACGTGCCTCAGGCAACCACAAGCAAACGTCCGAACTGGCAAAACAGTGCAGAAAAGCCATCAAGGATGACCTCAAAAACAGGAGAGCAGCAGTACTGGTAGATGCAGCAGAAGCTGGGAAAAACATTCGTAATGCCCGCCTGTCCTTCACCAACTACAAAACCAAGATGACTGCCCTCCGACATCATGATGGATCTATCACATCTTCCAGAAGGGCAATGGAGAAGATTATTCATGAATTCTACTCAGATCTCTTTAATAGCCACATCCACTTGCCCACATACCACATACCACATGATGGATATGTCGTTCCCAATGTTCTCCCTTCCAAAATCCAACATGCCATCTCGTCGGTAAAGAAACAAAAAGCACCTGGCCCAGACAAGATCAGACCTGAACACCTGAAGAACTTACCATCAGTACTCATCAATACATTAGCTCGACTCTTCACACGCTACCTGTCTGAATGCAAGGTTCCATCCCAATGGAAAACCAGCAAGACTGTACTACTATACAAGAAAGGAGACATCCACGACATTGGCAACTATCGCCCAATCTGCCTATTGTCTGTCATCTACAAACTATTCACTCGAGTCATCCTGAATAGGATTAGCAGAACACTAGATGAAGAACAACCATGTGAACAAGCTGGATTCCGAAAAGGATTCAGTACCATCGACCATATCCACACAATAACCAAGCTCATTGAGGTATCTCGGGAGTTCAAGATGCCGCTCTGTCTAACATTCATTGATTTAAAGAAGGCCTTTGATTCTGTTGAGACGGAAGCGGTCATGGAAGCCCTAGCCAATCAGGGCGTACAAACTCAATACATCAGGATCCTTCGTGAGCTCTATTGCGGATTCACTACCAAGATCTCACCATTCTACAAAGAAGTAATCATCCATATCAAGAGAGGAGTTCGGCAGGGTGATACCATTTCACCAAAACTCTTCAGTGCCACCCTCGAGAACATCATGCGACGACTAGAATGGGAAAACATGGGAGTGAAGATGGTCGGCAACTACACCACCTCCGCTTTGCTGATGACATCGTTCTAATAACACCAAACATCAGCCAAGCGGCACAAATGCTTGCGGACTTTGACCGTGAGTGTGGAAAGGTCGGAATACAGCTGAATCTTACGAAGACAATGTTTATGAGAAACAGCCTTGTTCCTGACGCTCCATTCGCTCTCAACGGAACCACCATCTCCGAATGCAACAGTTATATATACTTAGGTCGAGAAATCAACATGATGAATGACCTGGCACCTGAGTTACGCAGGAGGAAGAGAGCGGCTTGGAATGCCTTCAAGAGCATTGAAGAAATAACTAAAAGGACAAAGAACCTCCAACTACGAGCACATCTCTTTGATTCCACTATTCTTCCTGCATTAACATATGCCTCAGAGACCTGGACCCTACGAAAACAGGATGAGAACACTATTCGGGTCTCTCAAAGAGGAATCGAAAGAACTATGCTTGGAATATCACGATTCACTCAAATGAGAGATAGAATCCGGAGTTCTGATCTTCGTCAACGCTCAAGAATCAGAGACGCTGTCTCATTTGCCAAGACATCAAAAATCAGATGGGCTGGACATGTAATGAGGTTTACAGACAACCGCTGGACTAGAGCCATTACTGATTGGATTCCACGAGACATCAAAAGATCACGTGGACGCCCACCTATAAGATGGTCAGACTTCTTCGTCAAGACCCTAAATGATCGGTTTGAGGCTCTACATGTTCCTAAAACGAACAGATACCATTGGGCTACGCTAGCACGCAACCGGGATGAATGGAGACGTTACTGGCACCCGCTCGAATAAATCGATGAATAACGGGGATTAAGTGATTAAGTGAATAACTAGCACAACTATTAAGTAATATCTAGCAATTTTTAATGTTTTTATTTTTCCATTTCAGCTAAAAACATCATAATCAAATTTGTGCTACTTTATAGAGACTTATTTGTAAGCATTTTCCAAGATTATCAAAACATATATTTATTTAATTTTAAATCAGTTATCTGTGATTCATTCAAAGAAATTGGAATATTTAATCAAGAATTAACCTTAGACCAAAAATAAGCAACATTTTTTTTATTCTAGGTCTTGTTATTTCATTTCTGAATGGTTTTTATTTTAAGACTCCTTGCCTAAATTTAATGGAATGTACAAGATGTTTATTCTGTGTTTGCAATGTAAGCTAACTTTATTGGTAGACAAAGAGTAAACTGGCATTGAACGATTGAATTTTTAATGTTTATTTTCCTGCTTTACCACGGCTGTAAGAAAAGTCATTTCCTGTAAGAAATGCTCAGATCTTAGAATTCATTGTAATGTAGATGAAATTCAGAGGGTAACACAGTAAGCGAAATAAATCAGAAGGAGGACAAATGCTGGATGATCTCACTCTTCTGTGAAATATAAAGAAACAATCAAGACAAGAGAAGCCATTGGACGATAACAAACCCGATGTTTAAGAAAATAAGATCAATTGCCTAGCATTGGTGGGAGTGGGAGTAGTTAAAGGACAGTGATGGATTGCGAGCACTGTGGTGCTAGTGGTTCACAGAAATTTTGTGCATCAATAACATAAACCTTAGCAGAATCCTAACTACATAAGCTACTAACCTATAATAACAAAATAATGGTCCATAGAAATAGTGTAAGGGTAAAGGCTCAAAGCAACCCCAATCTTGTTTGCTCTGACATAGCATACGATCCCCAGCCATACCCAGGAATGAATCCTGAACATAGAGCCAGGGTTTTATTCAGAGCATAGCCAGGTGTGACTTTAAAATAAATGCAAAAATAGAAACAGAAAAGAGTCACTTTTGTTATTTTAAAATGACACATTAAATAGTATGAAGAGACAATACAGTAGTAAAGGGGCTTGCCTTGCAGTCAGCCAACTTAATTTGATCTGTGGCATCTCCTGTGCTCCTCTCCCCCCCCCCCCCGCCCCCACAACCAATCAGGAGTGATCCCTGAGCACAGAGCCAGAGCACAGCTGGGTGTGGTCCCTAAAAAAAACCAATAAGTAAACAAACAAAACAGAGCAAACCATGTGCTCAATCATCACCACCACCTACCTCCACTGGTCACCACTGGGTGATGGTCCCCACGACAATATCACAATCACAAATCACAAATCACAAATCATCCTGTTATTCGTCGATTGCCTCCAGCAGACCCCAGTAATGTCTCCTTCATCCTAGCCCTGAGATTATATTCAAGGCTCTTTAGGAGAATGAGACCCATCATTGTTACTGGTATTTGGCATATTGGGTACACCGCGGGGAGTTTGCCAGACTCTGCCGTGTGGGGCCT